CAAATCAGCCCTGGGTACATGTTGCTGTCGATTTGCTCGATCAGCCACTGCCGAAGCCTCCGGCCACCATTCCGGTCACACATTCTTGTAGAGAAAAGAGCACGTTCTGTGATATTACAGATATTATCTCATTAATCACAGCACCCCGCGTACTTGAGAGCCAAGAACTGCCAACAGGAAAATCAGAGGGCTGCAACACAGGTCCCAGCCTCGCAGAAACCCGCGAACCCTGGGACCCTGGGCCACCTGCGGTGGGAAGACCGTGCCTCCCCTGGGCCTCAAACCACTGAACACTGAGAGCTCCCCGGGAAATCTGCCACTGCCCCGCACCAGATGTCCGTCCCTCCTGAGGTTCCACCTGGTACTCCTTCCAGCCTTACCCATTGCTCCGTTTCGGGCAAACACGGCCACATCGAAGGACACCATTCCATTTTTAGCATGAGATGGGGAATAATCACGTTTACATTCCCATGTCCTTCGATGAGCAGCTCATCACCCTGAGAGCCAATTCCCTGACTTGATGCCCAGTCTGACCAGCGTTTCTTAGCAAATATGACATCTGTGCTCTCCAAGAAAGAAGAGATCCTCAACGCTATCCCTTCTAGATTGTTCCTTCACAGATGGGTTATTGATAAGAGGAAGAGTTTGGGAATGAGACAGAGCTGGGGTCCCATTTGAGTCCCACCATCTCCCAGCTGGGTGACCTTGTATCATGATTTAACCTTGGAGTGCCAGCTACGGGGGCTAAAGCCCCAGAAGAACCATCAGTACTCGGCATCTTTGGGGTGAGGGCTCAGAGGATGCACCTGAGGCCATGCCTGGACCTTAGAAGGTTCTCTCTAAATAACACAAGTTATTATCCTAACTTTCTTCCTCAGGAACTCCTACAACCACTTAGAACAAAAGCAAGGAAATCAACTGGGGCCATAGAACAGGGCAAAGTCAGCCGGGCTAGACTCTTCCAGAAAGCACCAGAATTTGGGGACCTCACCAGGGTGCCCAAAGACATCCTTTGGAAGAACATTCTTGCCAGAACAGGCAGCTTTCCCAACAGCAGACAGAAAAAGAACAATCATGCCGTATCGACGCACAGCCCACATTTACAAGAACAAGGGTGGAAATCCCCTAGACAGTTGGACAGACGTCCACCAAAAAAAAAAAAAAAGGCATTTCTATTCTTCTGATTAAAATGTGACCTCCTTGGGCAAATAGGTTTGAAACCATCAGTAGTGACAAGACACAATGTCCCCAAGAATATGGTCACATCCAGAGCAATGCTGGTCCATAAAGCAAGTGCATGACTTGGAAGCCAGCCACCCTCCAGGTGGCTGTGGGATCAGAAGGGGGGTCCAGGTCCTGGGAAGAAGGTGAATCCCAAGTGCCGACTGTAACTTTTCCATGCCCACTGGTGGGTGTAAAAGGGGTGACGTGGGTGGAATTAGGAATTGGACTTGGATTTGGAAACTGCAGACCCAGCAATGGCTTTTCTCCAACCTGACCTCGGAAAAACCACCTGAACCTCTCTGAGGCTCTCCTCAGCGGCAAGGTGAATGGAATTGCATCTCAAGCATCCCAGAATTCCTAAACAGCCCCTTATGCTTCTAAATAAGAAGGTACAGATTTAGGAGGGACACCTAGAGAAAAGAAACCCCACCACTGAGCACCCCCCAGAAAATAACCTAGGACCGAACTGATTCCTACAGATCCTTTCAGTGGGGAAAGCCAGGAGAATCTCGCCTCGCTTGAGGAGTGAGCTGCGTGCAGGAGGGGGGCGAGAGGGGCCAGAACACTACTGGAAGGGTGGTGACTGTGGGTCTGTAAATGCAGTGAAATGTGCCCACTCGTTAGGACTTTGTTCACCCCCTTAGCACAAGGTTTGTAAACCAGAGTCCATCCTCCAGGAGCCTCCTGAAAATGAAAAGCAAGATTTTGTTTGTATGCGCGCTTTTCTAGAAAATGGGTCAACACCTTCTTATCAAGATTTCTAATGGATTTGGGGTGCCTCAGCTGGTTCAGCGTCTGCCTTTGGCTCAGGTCATGATCTCAGGGTCCTGGGATGGAGCCCCAGGTCGGACTCTCTGCTCAGCAGGAAGTTTGCGTCTCCCTCTCAATCTGTGATCTCTCTCTCCCTTGCTCGCTCTCAAATAAATAAATAAAATCTTTAAAAGAAAATTTTTTTTTCTGATGGATTCATAGCCCCCAAAACTGTTAAGGACAAATGGTCTTGGTGATTTATAAGGACAGGAAAAGAGAAAATAAAGTTAAGAGAGAGGTCAATGAGAGGAAAAGTGAATCACATAATATGAAAACTGGACAATACTTTAGAAACCATCTAATCCAGCCTGTTTGCTCACGGGAGGAAACACTGAAGCCCAGAAGGGCACCCTGACCCCCAGGCACCGCAGGAGGGTCTTACTTTGCTCACTCTGCAGAGAAAAACTAAGGCTACGTTACCAGATCGAAACACGTGGACAGCCCCACCTGAATTCTCACTGAGGTCACCTCTAAGACTCTAAGTGGCAATAGAAGCCTAAGGTACTAGTCCCATGATGACCCCACTATGATTTATGGAACGCTAACGCATTAATCCCATCAAATGTCAAGCCAGAAAAACAATTCATAAGCCCGGTCACATGTTTATAACTTCCTCTTCCTTGATTTTTAATCATTCTCTTTATGGGCCAAATCCTATCTGGAGCTAATCTGCATCGCAATAAATGGGTCCCGGGTATCAGGCTTCCCAGACAGGAGGTGATAAGAGGCTGCGGTGGCCCCACCCAAGGCAGATTCCAGGATTCCAGGATGTGCCTAGGAGGTGGTGCAGGACTCACCTCCCACACCTTTCAGGGCCCCAGGCAAGGGTGGCCACAAACCCCACATCCCCCACCCCAGACTCAAAGCATCAAAGCCATTTGTCACTTTGACCCCAGTCTTTCTGAAATGACTGAGCCACTCCCAATTCTTTTCTTGGAAGAACCTGCCATAATCCCAAAGGACATGCTCAGAACCAGCTCCTAACTTAGGTTTAAAAAAAAAAAAAAGGGTTATATCGCCCGACATGTTGAAGGGGTATTTTAAAATTCTGGAACATTCAGTATCCAGTTTCCATTCATAAAGCACTCCAAGCCCTGGATAAGCAACACATCTCACTTTGTAAAGTCTCCCCTTTGCCCTGGGGTGCATTTTGCACCCAAAAGCTGCTGTTAGCAGCGGGCCCTACAAAGCTGGGGCTTTCTTGCCAGGGACCACTGGGCTATATGATGAGAGCCAAGGGCCTCAGAGCCCACTCAGAAATCGCTAACTGTCATCAGGCAGAAGAAAGCCCCAGTGTGCACCCCCTTCCACCAACCAGCTCACACAGAAACGGACGGTCACCGGGCAGTTCCTCGGTCGTGACCCTCCGAGCGCTACTCCGGGCAGCAGGACTTGGGCGGGACCGGAGAGCAGGTCCTGCAACAAAGGGGTCAGTGTTTCCCCTCCCTAGATAGGCCATTCTACGGTCTTCCACGCAAACCCGACTCTCAGAAAAATGGGATTTTTTTTGTCAGGCATCAGCCACTTGGGGCCCCGCCACCCCGTGCTCAACGCCTGGACTTGGGGTCTGGGTTCAGGAGGAAGAGCAGAGGAGGAGGAGGAGGAGGGACGGAGCCGGGCCGGCCCGGCCGTCTACCGGCCGCCGGGCTGCCTACCTGCCGCCGCGCGCGCCCGAGCCCGCCGCCCGCCTTCGGCGCCGCCGCCCGCGTTCCCACGCTCGCCGCCGCGCTCGGGGGATGCGGCCGCGGGCTCCGGCGCCGGCGCGGGTCTAGGGCCGGGGCGGGCCCGGCGTGCCGAGCGGCGGCCGCGCGGGCCAATGGGCGTGGGAGGGCCGCCGGGGCCGCCCAATGGGCGCGGACGCGCCGCCAGCACCGCCCAATGGGCGCGGCCCGTCCGGCCCGCCTTCTTCGAAGCGCTCAGCTTTCCGAGAAATCACTTTGCGCAGGGGCGGCCGCTGGCGGTCCGGGTGCCCTTCCGGGGTCCGCGCTGGGGGTCCCGGGCGCGGCGCGGGACGGGGGTGTCCGCAGGAATTCCCGCGGGGCCGCGGGGGCGTCCTTGCGGCCAAGTCAAGGGCAGGGAGGGTGGTGGGTGTCAGATGGCGGAAGTCAAGGCGCTGCCAGACGCCCGGGGCGAGGCGGGGGTCGGACGCTGGAGGTCAGGGCATAGCTGGGGCCTCGGGGCAGAGGCAGAGGTCGGATCTTGGTCAGGACTCTCTGGGGCTGGGGCCAGGCTCAGACACCAGAGTCAGAGCTCTGGGATGGATGATGGGTGTCAGGCCGCAGGATCCGGGCCAAGGTGGACATCCTTGGAAGTCACGGCTGGGATGGTGGCGGCCTGTGGCCCCTGCAGAGTGACCCCCCCCATCTCCGTGAGTGTGGCCCAAGTTCCTGGAGCTGCATGGGAGGCATCCCCCCACCAGGAGGAAGCCCCTAGTAACATGTCCAGACAGGGGCAAACTTTACACCTGACGTGTGGTTCCTTATAGAACTGGTCCTAGATGACCAGTCGCCGGCGAGTGACTGGGAGCGTACAAAAAAAAGAAAAAGTGCCCAGCTATATCAAGGTATCTGAAACCATTGCCCTCTGAAGATCAGAAGTAAAAACAGGATTGTCTAGCATATTAGCGCTAGAATGTCCACTTAGGGAAGTTTTCATCATAAATTCTTATCCCCAGGAAAAGTCAATTGTGTTGAGGCAGGGTTCTCTGCGTGTCTGTGTCATTTCCAGCCCCTCTGGGATGTTGGCTGGCATTTACTATATATGGGAGTAGAGTGGGGGGCAACCCTGGTGACGGAAATGACAAAGGAAACCCTGGAGACAGAAGGAAAGGTTTCCCCACGTTGAGGTGTGGGGCAGCCTTATAGGGAGAAGAATGGGAATCTTTGTTGACCAATCACACACAAGGAGCAGTGTTTACTGAGCCACGTATTCACTAGGCTTTTCAAGAACCTATGAAAATGTTTGAGCCTGAAAAAGAAATTTTATTGGCCCCCAAATGCAAACAGTACACTGCAAATTTGAAATTAATAAATGTTCAAAGAAAAGTCCCCAACACATAACGTGCCAACTTCAAATTGTAATTTCTCTGCTGATAAACATTTGGTCGTATTTGAAAACCACATGGAAGTTAGAAATCACTTGGTAAGAATTTCCTAATACCATGATTGCCAGGAAGTCATAGCAATCATGAATTAAATGAGTTCCCTGTCGCCAAATAATTTCCCATGATAACTCATTTTTCAAAGCTCAAATTCTTGAAGAGTGTTTGGATACTGTAGGAGTATTTTGATATGTTCGCTATGGTGTGGGACGAGCTTCCAGAACTCAGAAATTCTTTGAAGAGCCCGCACGCGTGTTTGTACTCCTATCTTTTCACCGACGCGCCCCTTCAGCCTGCCCAGATTTCCTTCCCGGTCAGGGTTGCTGCCCGCGGCACAAAGACGAGTGCTCAAACTTCCACTCCGCACTCCAGTTAGGTCAAGCCGGGGGCGCGCAAAGACGGAGAAGTCAGCCCTGCAGCTGTCCCAGCGAGGATCGCCAGCAGTAGGTGTCACTGTATACATACAGGAACTGTTCACCATACACGGGCTGGCATTGAACCTGCTCCCGAAACCCCGCATTTTCAACGTGGTGACTCCTCACTGCCTGGGGACAACTTGTAACCTCAGCTGTTTAGTTCTGTTCCTACTTAATGAGCGTTGATGGAGCGACTGCTATGGGCTGGATACGGTGCCAAGGACAGGAGACCCAAAGAACAAAAGTGCCTCTGACCATTCCTGCCTCTCCCATGACCTGCCAGCACCTCATAATCCAGGGAAATTTCACCCTGGTCTCTGCAGCAGCCTACGCCTACGCCTTGTCCTCTGTACCATGTCCCTGTGTGTCCTTGTCGCTGCGCCCCCAGCTTCAGCCGCTCCCTTGATGAGGGCTCCTCCGTGGTCTCACAGCACGTCCAGATGCTCATCCTGGCATCTGAAAACCACACCCTCCCAACCCGATGGATCGCAGCCTATCTCCGCCGTCAGAACAGCACATTCTGCAGTGGGGCCCTGGTTCAGATCCAAGTTCCTGGCTCACTGCATGTGTGCCCTTGAACAAATGACTTAACCTTCCTAACTTTTGGTTTGCCCGTCTGTTCAATAGCGTTGATGAGAATATTATGATTGCTGATATTCAACTATTTTCTGCCCTACAGAAAAGGCAGTTTTGTATGGTCTGGCCTAGTCCTTCCTGCCTCTTAGGATTAGTGAGGGCGGCCTGAGACCACGGGGGGTGCCGGGGAGGTTGGGGGCTCTGTAAGGGAATTGGCAAAGAGATTTCTCAGGGAGGAGCTTTTCATTTTCCATTCCCCACCTCTCCTTTGCACCTTCCAAGCCAGGCTTAGTGAGGGGTGTTCAAGAGAGCTCGAAAAGGTGCTTGCTGGGAGGACAGGTGTGGACTCCCTCCTGAGGAAGCCAGTCACCTGCAGGGGTGGGGGTGGGGGTTCTGCCTCCCGCCCTGGAAATCGACAGGTGGTGGCACCTGGCGCTTCTGATGTGCGGGTCACAGCCTGCAGCCCGTGCCTTTTACTGTTCTTCATCCACCAAAAACAAAACTTCAACAAATCTCTATTCATTTCCTAGGGTTGCTATAACATCATATACTTTCATTTCTGCAGGTCAGAAATCCAACCCGAGGGTCATAGGGCTAAGATCAAAGCGTCCACAGAACTGTGTTCCTTCATCTTTCCAGCTTCTTCCAGCCGTGTTCCTGGGCTTAGGGCCCTTTCCTGCGTCTTGAAAGCCCGATGGCCAGTTTCCACTTCACATCACTTTGCCCTTCTCTTCTGCCTCCCTTGCTATAGATGGAATGTTTGTGCCCCCCCACCACCACCATACATATGTTGAAATCCTAACCCCACGGGGACAGCATTAGGAGGTGAAGCCTTCGGGAGGTGACCAGGCCATGAGGGCAAGCCCTCGTGAACGGGAGTAGTGCCCTTGTGAAAGGGACTCCGGGAGCTCCCTTCCTCCCTCCACCGTGGGAGGACACAGCGCAAGCAGCTGTCTCGGAAGTGGGGCCTCACCAGACTCCCAAATCTGCCAGCACCTTCATCATGGACTTCCCAGCCTCGGAACTGTGAGAGACAAATGTGTGCTCTTTACCAGCCACCCAGTGTAGGTATTTTGTCATAGCCGCCCGAACAAACTAAGACATCCCTCTCCCACATTTAAGTACCCCGTGACTACGCGGGGCGTACATGCATCTCCCACCTGCATAATCCAGGACACTCTCCCTACCTAAGGCCAGCTGATTAGCAGCTTCAGTTCCATCTGCAGCCATAATTTCCCTTTGCTGGTAAAGTGACACATTCCCGGTGCCACAGATTAGGACGCAGGTGTCTCTGGGGCCATTATTCTGCCTGCCACACCATCTGTAAGATCCAACTCAAGCCTAATTCTTTTTCTTTCTCCAACCTTTGACCCTCATTTTAAGCACATGGACGGCTCCAGCCACACTGAAAGCTTTATAACATAATTTGGGACCTGGTGTACACATTTATGAATGATTTCACTGAATTCTCCTTAAGATAAAGCATAAAATCTTATTCTGGGTTAGCACCCCTACTTAGCACAGCACTGAATTAGGGATGCCTTAAATAGACACGTGTGAGTTCATTGCGACTCACCACGGAGTTGTACTCACGGCCATGATGTATTAGAAGGAAGGGAGCTCCCGGAGTCCCTTTCACAAGGGCACTACTCCCGTTCACGAGGGCTTGCCCTCATGGCCTGGTCACCTCCCGAAGGCTTCACCTCCTAATGCTGTCCCCGTGGGGTTAGGATTTCAACATATGTATGGTGGTGGTGGGGGGGCACAAACATTCCATCTATAGCAAGGGAGGCAGAAGAGAAGGGCAAAGTGATGTGAAGTGGAAACTGGCCATCGGAAACTGGCAAGATCAGCAAAGGGACAGGCATGCAGGCAAAGTCTGGGGGAGCAGGCGCCGGCTTCCAGAGCCCTCTGTCGGGGTCACACAGGACACGCTCAATCCCCCAGCAGTGCGTTGTGACAGCACGTGTGAAGTGTTGTCCACCAGGGATGCGCGCTAGGGACGGAGCACCCAGGGCTTTCCTGAGGGCTGGTCACGTGAGCATCCTCCTCAGTCTGGCCCTGACCCAAATCCCGGAGTCCCAGGAGGAAAGCAGGTGTTGTGCAGCAACCACATTTTTTGCATAGTGTCGGCACTGGGTGCCACTCTTATCAGCGCTGGGAGTTGGGGGTGGGGGGACCCTCCCCAGATCCACGCTCCCAGACGCCAGCTGAGGGCTGACCTGGCCAGCAGGCCTTTCTGGGGACCACGGTCTCAGCCCTGCTGCGTGAACGCCCTTCTGCACACGCTCTTAATTCGGAGGGCTTTATTGACGAACAGAAGCTCCACACATGTTCCAAAGGTGCCTGTGCTCTACCTTACCTGCCATGAGCCGCCCGTGTCTACTTGTTAACGAGTGTGCGCTGTGCTTGCTCCCGCTTCCCAGGGGCCCGGCGTTCACAGGATGCTGGGAGTGAAGCCAGGTGGGATGCAGGCTTCCCGGGAGGACGAGCTGCAGCTGTCGGCCACATGGATCCCGACGTGCACCCCTCGTTTCTCTGTCTTCCCGAGCTTGACTCCAGTGACCCCCCAAGGACAGCTCTGGGCAGAGGAAACAAGTACCGTTTGGCATTTTTTCCTGATTACATATTTCCTCAACGAGACCAACACGTGACAACTCTAACGGAATTGATCCCCTTTGAGATGTCATACTGACTCTAACTTGATTTTTCTGCTTAAGACCACATCCACTTCATAACTGGATCGCGCTCCTCTGAGGCCGGCAACGCCAAATCAGAGAAGGTTGGCTCATTGAGAGCCATGGTGCTAATGCTGCAACCGTGGATGGGCAGCCGGAGAGCTCCGGAGAAGCAGGCGGAGGAACAGGGCACAGGAAGAGACCTGCCAGTCTGCAGAGCGCTCATCTGGGCAGCTAGATAAGGAGGTTCTCGAGAATGTGCCGAGCGTGTGGTGGGGGAGGGGGGCAGGCCGTGGGTCAGAAACACAGCAAGGGACACCAGGGCATGGGCCAAAAAATAACCTCACCATCAAGAAAGCAGTGAGGGGGGCAGACAAAGATTCCTTAAACAGGACAGAGAAAGCAACAACCATGAAAGAAAAGCAAGACGTGCTGGACGTCACTAAAATTAAGAGTCAGCGTGAAGAGCGCCACCACGCTGGGAGAGGCTCACCACACCCTTTTTCAAGAAATGACTTCTATGCTGGCTATAAAGAAGTGAGATGCCCCAGAAGGAGAAAGGCAGATGGCATCTCCACCCCCAGCACGGGCCGCAGACTGTGCCGCCAGATATCACTGGCCGTTTTCGGAGAAACGTGGTGGGAGCAACGGCTGCGGCAGAAATGTAGTCTACGCAGCCTGGGCGGGTGGGTGCTGGACTCCAGGACCCACCCGGGGGGCACCGAGCACTGCTCTACCCCGGTGGGTGGCAGGCGCTGGGACCGCACGCTGCCCCTACTTCTCTCTAGGGCTGTCTTTATGCGCCACGTTGTCCCATCCCTGAGCCCGGGCGAGTGCTCAGGCTTTGTCATAGAAACATGACTTACATGCGCAGAGTTGCTGGGCTGAGAGAGATCCTTGATGTCCCTGAAGTGGTTTCTGTGGGCGTGAGACAGACGCTGAATTTGAATCAGTCCTTCTAAGACTATCGAAATTAAGTCCCCTTAACATATGAAGTCATGTTCACACTCTGAGTTTCCAGGCTTGTGTCTGCCGAAAGACACAACCACTGCGCTAACCAAATAGCCAGAAAACGCATGATAGGGTGATCGAGATCATGGGAAATGCAAATTGAAAACCGCAGTAAGGGGCACCTGGGTGTCTCAGTCAGTTGAGCGTCTGCCTTCGGCTCAGGTCATGATCCCGGGGGTCCTGGGATCGAGCCCTGCAGCGGGCTCCCTGCTCAGCGGGGAGCCTGCTTCTCCTCTGCCCCCCCCCCCACCTTGTGCTCTCCCTCTCTCTCAAATAAATAAGTAAAATCTTTAAAAAAAAAAAAAAAAAAACAGAGTAAGATACCACTACATACCCACTGGCATGGCTAAAATGAAAAGACTGACGATACCAAATGCTGGGAGAGGTGTGGAATGATGAGAAGGTTCACACTCGGCTGGCAGGAGTGCAAACTGCTACAATCACTTTGGAAAACATAGGTTGAGCCTATCCTACGCTATGTCCAGAACTTCCACTCCTAAATGTGTCCCCGAGAGAAATGAGGGCAGGGAGCACATCCACCAAAACACACATACAAGAAACTCCATTGCAGCTTTATTCAGAATAACCCCAACGTCGGCTGGAAGCAGCCTCTATGCGTGCGATGAAATACCACGCAATAGTGAGAGAGAAGAAAGCATCACCATGCTCCACAGCAAGGATAAAGCTCACGGATGAGTGAAGCATAGCCGGGAGTCTGCTTTCATTTGTCTGAGGTCAAGAACACGCAGAACTAAGGCGACAGAGGTGGGAACAGAGGTTACCTCTGGAGGCTGGGGAAGGGGGCTGCATGGGAACTGGCTGGGGTGAGTCACCGGGGAGCCTTCCTGGGGCTGGAAGTTTCTGCATCTTGATCTGGGGGGTGTGTACATACGGAATACCCATCCTGCTGTATTTAAGGTTTGTACGAAAAATGAATACAGCGGCAAAGGACAGCTGATGAGCTGCGGGCAAGTGACAGGGATGTTGGCTCAAGCGCAGACCCCTGATGGACCCTTGGCAAGGTCAGAAGGAAGGCCAGGCTGCATGCAGGGGCGGCGCTGGGCCGCAGCTGCAGGAAGTAAGGGATCCGCCTGGGAAAGTGACCGGGACTAGAAAGTTGGCAGTTATCCAGCCAGATAAGGGACAGATTCATTCATTAGTTGACGCAACACTGAACAGATGGCCACAGTTTGTCAGGTAGTTGAACACACAGGGTGTGTGTGCATGCGTGTGTGTGTGCCCTGTGAATGCACACGTGTGTGCGGGTACATAGGGGGTCGGCTTTTTCACGTAAGAGGCTGTCTTCCAGTAAAAGGGGGCTTTCTTTGAGGTGGCAGGTCAGGGCTGATTCAAGGGCCTTGGGGAAGGAAATATCCAGAAACTGGATAAAAATCCTCTGCACTAGAGATGTGAACTTTGACCCCAGGTCCTTTCCTGCAGTTTCCCTTTTAACTGAATCCATTGCTCTATTTGTTCAAGGTGGATTTAGATGATTATTTGTTAGTTGCTAATGATGTGGGAAACAAAGGCAGAAGGAAATGTAGATAAAATTAAATGTCCTTATAACCGGCAGCCCATTGGCAAATACATGAGGCATGCAGAGTGTAAGTTTCCTCCAGGAAGCTCCCTACTGTCTTAATGTTAATGCTTTGCAAAATGGAAAAACAACCTTAGCTTGACAATAGCCAGGCCTCCGGTATCCAGGGAGTCTCCTTTAGCATATGAAAATCCTTCTGGAACTTCCCTTATCTTTACCTCCCACCACCCCAAAGTATTTAATCAGTTGCTCCTCACTGTGCCGGAACAGCAGCTCCTTCTGCCCACAGGTTCTGTCCCCGTGCTTTCATAAAACCACCTTTTTGCACCCAAGATAACCCCATCAACCTCACCAACATTCTAAAAACTGCATCACTAATATTGACCCCAATTTATTTCTTTACCCTGAAAGGATGACAAATAAAAATCCAAGATAAGTCTCTGTTTGTTTTACATCCTACAATTCATTACTTCTAAAGGCATTGTTCATTCACTTATTGGAAGTTTATTCAATCCTTGAAAAATGTGCCATGTACCTAATTCATAACCCTCCTCCAAAGGAGGGATGGGAAGCAAAGCATGTAAAACTTTAATGTAAAGAATTGCATTAAGCAATTCGATAATTTTTTTTTTGTCTTTCAAATATAAACTTTATACTCATACTGATTACTAGTGAAAGAGCTTGAAACAGTCCTGAAAAACAGCTTTTTGGAGTAAAAGGGTCTAATGATAGATCAAAAATATCTTAACATCTGGGGCTATTGCTAGGAAATACTGTTTTACCAAAACTATGAATTCTGACATGTACCGTAGATGAATAGATGAATGTCCTTAAATTTTAATATGCATAAGTAACACAAGGCACCTAGTACATTCGGGGTGGGGCCAGGACCCCACGCGCTCAACCATCAATTCTAAATAATCGAGAGTACGTGTATCCATCCCCGTCTCCAAAGTTACCTCTGCTGACCTGCGACAAATAGCTCTAATAAACATACAGTGTTAAAGGGAAAAAAATAGCACAACAGCGACTACTGACCTCTAAACAGAACCACAGGTTCTGAGGATTCAAAGAGACTTTAAAACAGTGCACCCAAACCCCATCCTCACACTGGTCCTATGAGACGGGGCCGAAGACTTCACAACAGTCCCCGTGGGTCAACAGGCTTCCTTTGGGACTTCTGCGGCCCGTGGGGATTGTGCACCAGCAGGATCTGCTGCCGTGTTTACTTCAGTCGCCTGAAGGACGGGCTGTGCCCTCACCATCCCTCAGAACATGGGATGACGAGCCCACGTGAGGTGGGGAGCTGCCTCTCCCCGGGACCACGGAGGGAACAGGTGCGTCCTGCGCTGTGGCTGGTTTTGGGGGTAAGTCCTGTGTCATCAGGAGAGCATTGCTTGATCCTAAACGCCCGGGTCCCTTGCGAGTTTAAGATGGTGATTCCAGGGGCGCCTGGCTGGCTCTGTTGGGAGAGCATGAGACTCGTGATCTCAGGGTCGTGCGTTCAAGCCCCACGCTGGGGGTAGAGCTTACTTAAATAAGTAAGTAAGTAAGTAAATAAATAAATAAATAAATAAATAAATAAATAAATAAATAAATTTTAAAAAGATCAAAATTCCAGTTCAACTTCATTGTCACTAACAGGTGTTTGCTGAGTATTTCATGACTGGAGGCAGTTAAATCTACACCGGGTCGTGACCTGTTTTGCTGTAATCACATGGTTGTCAGTGATGTACCACATAACGGGCAACAAAGGAGGGGTGCAAAGAAGAGACAAGGCAGAGCTGGTTCCCAAGGCTGGGGTGCAGCGCAGGGACCCCCCTCGGGGGCCACTGCTGCCTTACGGAACTCCACCCCAAAAGCGAAGAGAAAGGGCTGGACGGTGCGTGGACCTGAGTGCGACCAGCAGCAGCAACTTCAATTTGCAATTTGCTTTCTCTTTTACCAAACCCTTGCTCTCAGACCTTCTCATGTGGTTCTCCAAACAGTGCTGTGGGACAGGTAGGATTGTCCCCATTTGGTAGATGGGGACGGTGAGGCTCAGGGAGGCCGAGGGCTCTTGAACCTCAAGCCCAGGGCTCTTCCCACTCCTCCCATGTTGCTTTGCTCAGGGACGCAGGTGCAGCTGGGGCAGGGGCAGGGGGTAGAATGCACGCCTCTGTCTCCCCCTGTGGAATAGTAAAGGTTTGAATTAGCCGGGCGCTCCAGTTTCTTCCTGATCTCCAGGCCTCATTTCTCTGGGCAGAGCCGGGCTAAAGCTCCAACACAGGCCAACCGGGAACTTGGTGGGGAGGCACTTGGGAGTAGACACAAATGGCTGAAATTTCTTTACAAGATCGTCATTTCCTTCCTGACAGCCTTCTCCTTGCTCTGAGCTCTTTGTTTGCACCCCTGTCACCCACTCATGCAAATTGGTGCATCATCGCTTGCGAGCCAAGCTAGAGATGTGTGCAAACAACACCTATTCCCCTCTGCCCGGGAGCGGGCACGAAGACCTCATTTGTGCGAGGGTGACACAAGTTCACACCGAGCCTCGGGAGCTGCGCACACCCTCTTCTGCTCGCCTCCAAGTCTTGGGGCTGCTCTCAGGGCAGCACCAAGTGTTCAGGACTATCTCTTCATAGAATAATGTCCAGGGACTCTTTCTCGGGTATGAGTAAATGGAAAACCTGTCTCATCCCAGGACGTAGGTCTCTGGAGAGACGGTGGGTGCTGCTAATGCGTGCTGAGACTCCCCCATGGTGAACAAGTGCGTCACCCTCTTGAGCAATGGGTGCCACACTTCTTTCCCCCACAGACTGTCCTTATGCATTTACCTCCTCTTTTGCTGCTTGATTTGGGTTATTTACTGTCTTGGCACATGAACTTCCATGAATGCATGTCCCCCAATATTCATATGTTGAAGCCTGACCCCTTTGGGGGTAGTTAGGTCATGAAGACAGAGCCTCCGTGAATGGGGTTTGTGCCCGTATGAAAGGCTCCAGAGAGACCCCTTGCCCCTCCACCATGTGAGGACACAGCGAGAGGGGACCGTCTATGAACCAGAAAGTGCCCTGTTATTGGAAGTGAACACAACTGAGTAGAGACCATACCATGTTCATGGATTGGAAAACACAACATCACAGAGAAGAGCCAAGATGGTATTGCCCAGCGATACAGAGGGTGTGCCCTGCCCGGTGCCCAGTCCTGTCACAGAGCAGCTGGGACTGAGGGGACGTGGTGGCAACCCAAGTAGAGACTGAAAGTCAGGAAGCCATGGGGTCAGCCCTGAAACTGCCCCGTAGGTGTGGAAACGTGACGTGTGACCGAGGAGGCGTCTGGGAGTGAGAGCCAGCAGCCAGAACAGCTTACGCTAGAAGCAGAAATCACAAGGACAGATC